CATACTGCTTAAGGAACCATACATCAACAAGACTTAACAATTATAAATATATATGCTCCAAATAATGGAGCATCTGTGTTCATCAAACAAACTCTTCTCAAGTTTAAGAGACAAATATATCATAACACAATAATTCTGGGTGACTTTAATACACCTCTTTCACCACTGGATAGATCTTCCAAACAAAAGCTGAACAAAGTAATTATAGAACTCAATAACTATCAATAACTTAGACTTACCAGACATATATAGAATATTTCATCCAACGAGTAAATACACTTCTCAGCAGCACATGGATTGTTCTCTAAAATATACCATATACTATGCCACAAAGCAACTCTTAGCAAATATAGAAAAGTAGAGATACTACCCTGCATTCTGTCAGATCATAATGGAATGAAATTAGAAATCAACGATAAAATAAGAAATAAAATCCACTCCAAAAACTGGACACTAAATATTCTACTGAATGAACAATGAATGGGTGGCAGAAGACATTAAGGAGATTAAAGAATTTTTAGAGGTGAATGAGAACACAGATACAACGTATCGAAATATCTGGGACACTATGTAAGCAGTTCTAAGAGGAAAGTTCATTGCCTAGAGTTCATTCCTTAGAAGAAAAAAAAGTCAACAAATAAATGACTTAACATTACATCTCAAAGCCCTAGAAAAAGAAGAACAAATCAATACCAAAAGCAGCAGAAGACAGGAAATAATTAAAATCAGAGCTGAAATCAATGAAATTGAAACAAAAATAATTGAAAAAATTGACAAAACAAAAAGTTGATTCTTTGAAAAAATAAGCAAAATTGATAAACTGTTAGCCATGCTAACGAAGAGAAGGAGAGAGAAAACTTAATTACTAACATCCATGATGAAAAAGGAAATATCACGATGGATACTACAGAAATACAGAAGATAATTAGAAATTATTTTGAAAATTTGTACTCCAATAAAATAGAAAATATCAAAAGCATTGAAAATTTTCTAGAGTCATATGATTTGCCAAACTGAATCAGAATGATATACACAAGTTAAACAGATCAATTTCAAGCAATGAAATAGGAAGATTCCATCAGAAGCCTAAGCTCAGGACCAAGATAGATGGATATACAGCTGAGTTCTATAGACCTTCAAAGAAGAACTAATACCAATATTCCTCAAATTGTTTCATGAAATATAAAAAAGGAACACTTTCAAACTCATTCTATGAGGCCAATATCACCCTGATTCCAAAACCAGACAAAGACATCAAAGCAAGAAAACTTTAGACCAATATCTCTAATGATCACAGATGTAAAAACTCTCAATAAAATTCTGGCAAATTGAATACAGAAACACAAAAAAGATAGTGCACCATGAACAAGTGGTGTTCATCCCAGGGATGCAAGGTTGGATCAACATATGGAAATCAATAAATGTAATTCATCACATCAATAGACTTAAAGATAAGAATCATATGATCATCTCTATAGATGCAGAAAAGGCATTCAACAAAATACAGCCCCCTTCATGTTTAAAACATTAGAAAAACTAGCGATAACAGGAACATACCTCAACATTGTAAAAGCTATTGGTGCTAAGCCCCAATATCAATCTAAGTGGAGAAAAATTGAAAGTATTTCCTCTAAAAACTGGAACAAGACAGGGATGCCATCTTTCACCACTTCTATTAACCTAGTTCTTGAAACTCTAGCCAGAGCAATTAGATGAAAGAAATTAAAGGGTTACAGATAGGAAAAGAAGAACTCAAACTATCACTATGTGCCGATGACATGATTCTATTCATAGAGGATCAAAAAAAAAATCCACCAGAAAACTTCTAGAACTAATAAATGAATTTAGCAAAGTAGCAGAATATAAAATCAACACCCATAAATCAAAGGCATTGCTGTACATCAGTGACAAATCCTCTGAAAGAGAAACTAGGAAAACTACCCCCATTTATAATAGCCTCAAAAAAAAAAAAAAAAGGAAGAAATACTTGGGAATCAACTTAATGAGACAGGTGAAAGACCTCTACAATGAAAACTATAGAATGCTAAAGAAAGAAATTAAAGAAGACCTTAGAAGATGGAAAGATCAACCTTGTTCTTGGATTGGCAGAATTAATATTGTCAAAATGATCACACTACCAAAAACACTATACAAATTTAATGCAATTCCAATCAAAATCCTAATGACATTCCTCACAGAAATAGAAAAAGCATCATGAAATTCATCTGGAAAAATAAGAGACCCAGAATAGCCAAAGCAATCCTTAGTAAGAAGAGTGAAGCAGATAACATTGCTATACCATACCTTAAACTATACTACAGAGCAGAAGTAACAAAATCAGCTTGGTATTGGCACCAAAATAGACTTGTAGACTGATGGTACAGGATAGAGGACACTAGAGACAAATCCACATAAATACAGTTATCTCATATTAGACAAAGACACCAAAAACATATATTGGAAAAAAAAAAAAGATAGCCTCTTCAACAAATATATCTGGGAAAACTGGAAATCCATATGCATCAAAATGAAATTAAGTCCCGATCTCTCACCATGCACAAAACTCAAAGTGGATCAAGGACCTAGGAATTAAATCAGAGACTCTGTTCCTAATAGAAGAAAAAGTGGGCCCAAATCTCCATCATGTCAGATTAGGCCCCTTAATAAGACTTCTATAGCTTCCTTAATAAGACTTCCTTAATAAGACTCCTATAGATCAAGAAGTAAAATCAGGAATCAATAAATGGGATGGATTCAAACTAAAAAGCTGCTTCTCAGCAAAAGAAACAATCAGTGAGGTAAATAGAGAGCCTACAGAATGGGAGCAAATTTTTACCACACATCAGAGCACTAATCTCTAGGATATATAAAGAACTCAAAAATCTTTTTAAAAATATTTATTTCTTTTAGTTGTACACAATGCCTTTATTTTTATTTATTTATTTTTATGTGGTGCTAAGAATCGAACCCAGGGCCTTGCATGTACCAGGCGAGCATTCTACCCCTGAGCCACAACCCCAGCCCCAGAACTCAAAAATCTTAACACCAAAAAAAACCCCCAAATAGCCCAATCAGTAAATTGGCCAAGGAACTAAACAGACAGTCCTTAGAAGATGATATACAATACACTTATTGAATAACAAAGGCAAGGATTTTGGGGAAAAAGGCACACTCATACATTGTTGGTGGGACTGCAAATTGGTGCAACCAATCTGGAAAGCGGTATGGAAATTACTTGGAATGGAACCACCATTTGAACCAGCTATCCCATTCCTCAGTTTATATCCAAAGGACTTAAAAACAGCATACTATGGTGATGCAGCCACATCAATATTTATAGCAGCACAGTTCACAATAGCTAATTGTAGAACCAACCTAGATGTGCTTCAATAGATGAATGGATAAAGAAACTGTGGTATATGTACACAATGAAATATTACTCAGCTTTTTCTATTTCTATGAAATTAAAAGAGAATAAAATCATGGCATTTCCAGGTAAATGGATGGAATTGGGGAATATCATGCTAAGTGAAGTAAGCCAATCCCAAAAACCCAAAGGCAGAATGTTTTCTCTGATATGTGGATAGATGCTGATCCAGAATGGTGGGGAGGAGGCATGGGAAGAATGGAGGAACTTTAAATAGAGCAAAGGGGAGAAAGGGGAAGGGAGGTGGCGGGGAGTAGGAAAGATAGTGAAATGAGATAGGCACCATTACACTAAGTATATGTATGAAGACACAAATGGAATGACTCTACTTTGTGTACAGCATATATTGGAAAAAAAGATAAAAACAGACATGAAAAATTGTGCTTTAAAAATGCATTCTGGTGTCATGTATAATAAATTAGAATAAATAAATAAATTTTTAAAACTTGGAATTAGTTGACCTTTTATGGTATTAACATCTACATCTTAATTTGTATGTTTACATAAAGGAAAGTCTCTAATTTGAACTAATTATGAGAAAAGTAAACCTATGTCTCTTAAAAAGTCTGAATTGTTAATAGACATAAATATGGAACTGGGGATGTGGCTCAAGCGGCAGCGCGCTTGCCTGGCATGCGTGCGGCTGGAGTTCGATCCTCAGCACCGCATACAAACAAAGATGTTGTGTCCACCGAGAACTAAAAAATAAATATTAAAAATTCTCTCTCTCTTTAAAAAAAATAGACATAAATATTGTTTTTCTCAAGGTGGGCTAATATTAAGGGACTTGTTCTGTTGTACATATTTATTTGTAATTACTGTATTGAAATGTCACACTAAATGAATAACTCTTACAAATTATAGCCTTTTGTGTAACAAACCAACAAAACAGAAAACCCTGAAAATTTGTATATGTTCTTCCTAAAGAATGCACTTTGCCCGAACACACAGGTGCATTGATTTGCAGCCTTCTACAACCAACCATTTTGTACCCCAACCTGAAATCCTCACTTGCTTGATTGGGTTAGAAAATAATTGTAAAAATAAAATTAAGAGAAGGGGAGGGGAGGGGAGGGGAAAGAAAGAGTAAGCAACAACAAAAAAAAAAAAAAAAAAAAGAAGAAAGAAAAAGAAAACTATTGTAACGACATTGCCCTATAGAAGAGCCCTACTGAAGTAAAAGGCAGGATAAAACTCCAGGGTCCTATCAGTTTGTTAAATTTCAGAGCAGAAGAGACCTGGAGGATCATTTACTTCCAAACCCCACATTTTTTGTTTTGTTGTGATGCTGGGGATCGAACCCAGGGCCTCATGCATGCTAGGCTAGTGCTCTACCAGTCCCCAAGTCTTTTTTATGGTGAGGGTTGTTGAGCCCAGAAAATGAGTAATTATGAACTAGGATATGAGACATGCTGCATATGTCCCAAAAGGGACATAATTTTTTCCAGTTTTGATTACCTCTTACTCTTAACAATGATAGATGGAATCCTCCAAAGAAACAACTGTGGTGAGCTGTGGGTAACAAAGGAATTGCTAGGACAGGCTTCAGTGTGATTGTGTTGTCTTCCTTTAGGACCTAAAGATTGAACAGAAAACCCCTCTACGGGTCCTTCACCGAAGACCCTTGGCTTTGAGAACTCGTGTCATCCACTCTATGGAGACACATTATATGGATGAACATCATTTCCGCCTTTATCTGAAGACTCAAGCTGGAACGTATCCTTTCACCTGTGTATTGCAATAATCTAGCCAAAACCCCATGAGAGTTTATGCTGCCCTAGAAAATAGGTTTAGTTTGGTCTGGGAGGCATTAGGGAAAGTATTACATTGGGAAGAAATTCATTATTTTTTTGTTTGAGAGGTTTTTCCCCCATTAAATTTGTTTCTCAAGAGGATATTTTAAACTATGAGGTAGCAGTCCAATGTTAGTTTTATATTTCAGTTAATTACAGTGTATTACATAGTGGTTAGCACATGGTAAATACTTGGAAAATACTTTTGATTGATTCATTTGCTGTCTGTACATATTTTTCAAGTAATGAATTCATGACCATTTTGGGGTCTTTTTAGCATTTCAAGCATTTGTCCCAGATGATTAAACATAATGGTAGTGCAACTTTACTTTTTTTTTTTTTTTTTTAAGAGACAGAATCTCACTATGTTTCCCAGGCATGTCTTGAACTCCTGGACTCAAGCAATCCTTCTGCCTTAGACTCCCTTCAAAGTGCTCGGACAACAGGCATGTGCCATCATGCCAGGTGACACTTCACATATTGATCTTTATTTGGGTGCTGGCCCAGAACAACAGAAATATTCTTTTTCTGCATGTCTTGTGAAAAAACAAAAACAAAGCATTTCAGATTACATGTCATTTATTTGAGCCACATAAACTTTGTCGACAGGAATACTGTGCTGACACTTAGCACCATTTTCAGACTCCTAAAAGTTTGACTGTTATAAATAGTAAAGGTTGAAATTCAGTTTAAATTTCCATAGTCCAGGGCTGGTCATTTTTTTTATAACTTAATCTGACTTATGTGTTTTTGTATCAGAACTGAGGTGCTGATTCACATGTATCAGGGAGCTCCTGTGGTCCTAGCCTTGTGATCCAATAGCATGAAGTGATAAAACGCCTTTTAACTGGTATAAAAGTAATAACATGTATATAACAAATATATCGAATAGTACTTTGACTACATTGCTGCTTTAACTACTCTGCTTCTCTTTTCCTACCAACTTCCTCACCTCTGCTCCAGGAGTGATCTAGATTTACTTGGCCAAATCAGGGATAGGTTATCTATTCCAAATATCTTATAAAGTTTACAATTTGGATGTAGGGATGATTTATGTAGATGCAGTGGGTAGATCTTTGTATCTTTGTTGTTTGGAGGACATTTCTCTATTGTGGATGGAATTTCAAAGAGATCACAGGTGTTTACATTTTATTTATGTTTTGATTCTGGGTATTGAACCCAGAGCTTCTCACACAGTTAGCACACACTTATTTCATCACTGAGTTTTGCCTCTGACCACAGATTAAAAAAAAAAAAAAAATTCTTACTACCTAATTCTGGCTTTAGTTTTTGGGTACCAAGGAGAAATGCAATGTCTCGGAGAAACTAATGTCTTATCCTATTAAAACATTTTTAGAACCAGCCACATATGTGTATTTAAGGCATTGCCAAGAAAGACTAGCAAAGCTTTAGATACCATATGGCTATCCATGTACTAAATTTATTTTGTATACTCTGTGTACATATATTGCTCAGTATACTGAGCTAGTTTGTTTGCTTTAAATGTTCTTCTGGCTGTGAATATAATCTCTCTCGATCTTTTAACTGGTTATTTTGGGCTTTTTGGTCATCTCCTTATTTCTATCAGAAATAGCATTTTTTGAAGAAAGTGAAAGAAAATGGCGATTGTTGAGTTTAGCAAAAATGGCCATCACTAGATAATTACAAGTCTTATGTTTGAGTCAACACTCAAGTGAAGGAAGAGTGAATAAGCTTTGAGAAAATGAGGACATAATATCAGCATATTATAGTATTGATTTATTTATCTTCTAAGAATAAATGTGTTTTTCCTGTTCAAATTCTATTAAATGGTTTGCCCTAAATACTGCTTTCTATAACTCAGCATGATACTGGGTTTTTACTGAACACTGATATAAACTTGTATCTTTTAAAGATAAATATTTTCAAGGCTACTATAGAGTCCTGTGTGAGGAATGTTAATGTAATCTTACCAAGATCAAATTCCAGAATTTTGTCATTGCCTTTCAAATTTAAAGACTTATGAAGGAAAAATTCAAAGTCATTTCTAAAACAAAAACAAAACAAAACTTAATCTTTTGCTAATAACCATATTAGCAGACAACTAGGCCTTCCATAATTCTCATGAAGGATCTTTATCAATATTAGGTATTTTCACTGTCTCTTCTATCATATTGCCATAACTGGATCATGTTACAAGAAAATCCATCATTGGGGTCATTGTATGTGTGATTCTGTGGAACCTACTGTCTGGGCAGATGCCAGTTGTCATTATTGAAAAATGGGACCAGGAAGGTGGGAGTCAAAATTTTGGCAAAGAAAAAAAAATTTTTTAAAGAGAGAAAGGGAGAAAGAGAGGTAAGTTTTTTTAATATTTATTTTTTAGTTTTCGGTGGACACAACATCTTTATTTTATTTTTATGTAGTGCTGAGGATTGAATCCAGCAACCTGTGCATGCCAGGCGAGCACACTACTGCTTGAGCCACATCCCCAGCCCCGAAAATATTTTTTAAAAAGCATTGAATTATAATTAATTTTAAAAATCCATTCTCAAACCTTGACAATTTGAGATGATAAAGAAAAAAGAAAGTCATGACTTCTGCTAAGTTTGTTGTAAACACAGGTCTCAGGTACTTATGTTGGCTGCTAGGCCAGTAGGAATCAACTGTCCTAAGACACACTATCTAACTTTAGATAAGTTAGAGCCAGGACTGACCTCTCCTTTGTAACATTTCTACTTTTATTATTTCCTTTTCGCCTGTGAAATATTACCAGTTGATATTGCATGGCTATCCTCATTTTTTCCTTAAACAGACTCCAGCTACATTAAAGAGTTTGTACATGGAGACTTTGGGAGAACCAGGCCAAACATTGGCTCTCTGATGAATGTGACTGCTGACATTCTTGAGCTGGATGTGGAGGTAAACCATTTATTGTGGAACATTTGCACATTTGCAAATCGAATTCAGCCAAAGTTATGCCTTTTGGCATTAAACCAAATAGCACTTCTCACATTCATAATTATTTGAAAGTGGCAAAACCTCACAGTAGAGAAGGGACTATCTTCTGAATTTTTATAAATATGAGGCCTTATACATGATCCTTGTGATATATAGTTAATTTACTAACTGTGCTTTACATTTGGCATGAGATTAAACTCTTAAACGAGAGAATAAAATTATAAGTGACCTTCAAATGTCCTTAGGGACTCAGAGTTTATTTCCTATACCAGTTTCATTTATAAAGACTTTAAGGCAGAGTGTTTGGAAACTATATTTAGGACAGGGATAGAAAATGGGACGAGCCAATGGTTGCTAACAAAAACAATTCTCTGGGCTGGGGATGTGGCTCAAGTGGTAGCGCACTCGCCTGGCATGCGTGCGGCCCGGGTTCAATCCTCAGCACCACATACAAACAAAGATGTTGTGTCCGCCGATAACTAAAAAATAAAATATTAAAAAAAATTCTCTCTCCCCCCCCCACTCTTAAAAAAAAATTTCTCTAAGGGATTCTTGTGATGTGGTTCAAAAGTGGTTCTATAAGGGACACCTATGAGGTGATTCTCTACTCTTATAGTAATTGAAACAAGGTTAAATTATAAAATAATTACAAGAATGGATTTTTCAGGAAATTCTTCACAAACGTTTTCTTTTTCATTTGAGCATCAATAGAACTTGAGCCACAAGTTGTGCTCCTTGATGAAAATTTAATTAGGATTAGTGTCCCTCTTTATTTCCCACCATACCCCATCTGCCCCACCCCCCAAATCCTTGGAAGTGGTTAGAATTTTGCATTTGAGAATAAAATCAAAGTTATTTTTTTAAAAAAAGTGGGTATATTGCCTGGCATGGTAATCAAATGATCATTATTACCTTATAGCAATCCTCTCAAGTGCTCTCAGATTAAATTCTATAGATCTCCTACACACCAGCCAGAGACACCCTTCAAGATTGCAGGGAGCCTCTTGAAAGGGGCTGTCATTTTAAGAAAGACAACATTTGTTAAAGAAAATTCCAACTGTTCTTAGAACAGCTGAAGAGTGTCAAGAGCCATAGCTCCAGGTTTCTTAGCCCTGAGTGCCTATTGGAATCACCCATGAAGCTTTTTCAACACTACAGCATTCCTACCCTTCTCTGCCCTCAACACACACAATTGTGGTCAGTGATCTTTAATTTTCAGTTTGAAAAACTATGGCTATATTCTGAAGCACTATCAAAATGTCTTTTTGAGATTTGGAAAAACAATAGTTATTTGGGCTTTTCTAATAATTTTTTAGAATCTGGAATATGAAGTGACTCAAAAATTAATGAAAAATTTTTCAGTAAATTACTTCAGACTTTAAGCTTTGTCAATAAAGAAACATGGTTATAATGGATTTTTAAAAAGCCTTTTTTAAAAATAGGTCCTCTAGGGTAATTAAGATGTATTTTGTACTTCTGGAATGTAATTGTTTTTGTGGAGACAAAATATTTTGCTTACCATAATGCCAGGGTTGGTGTTCTAGAAGAGCAAAGTGAAGGCAAGCTGATAGAGATGAATTGGATTTTGAAAGAAATAAGTTCTGGTGAAGTAAAACAAAAAGATCCTTAATTTTTTCCTAGTTCCAGGTGATCTTTCCTATTTATTTACTTCACATCTAGTTGCTAAATTACAAACAAGGCTATAGGTTTATAGACAAGTTCTTGAGTGCAGTACAATGACCTAAGTAGTGATTGCCAGCAAATATGGTGGTAGTCCCATAGATTGTATCACTTAGTGACATCATAGCTGTATTAGTCTGAGTAAATATACTCTATGATATTTGCATGATGACAAAATCACCTAATGATGCATTTCTTATTTAGAATGTGGCCCCACAGTTCAGCTACACGTGATTCTATTAAATGTAAGATGGCAGAATGAATATGATCAGAAGAATAAAAGTTGCTGAGACTTTTTGAGGGAAAACTAGTGTAACCACCTGGATTTGAATTTGTTTGCTACTTTACTCATAAACTTTTAAAAAAATATTTATTTTTTAGTTGTAGTTGGGCACAATATGTTTATTTTATTTATTTACTTTTATGTGGTGCTGAGGATCAAACCCCGGGCCTTGCATGTGCTAGGCGAGTGCTCTATCGCTGAGCCACAACCCCAGCCTACTCATAAACATTTTTAAATTTAAATTTTTTGTCTTATGCATCAAAAGGTACAATTATAAACCAGCCAAGTAACCAAATACTGCTATTCAGTTAATTCAGAAACAGACGTTGGACCCAAGAATCCCCAGAGTAGACTTTGGTATTCAATTGCTCTTTCCTTCAAATGTTATTTCTTCTATATTATATTAAAACTATTACTGGCAAATGCTTATCAGAAAAGTAGTATCTGTAGTAATAACTTGTTTTCTCTCTTTTAGTCTGTAGACGTTGACTGGCCACCTGCTCTCGATGACTAGCTTTCAGATTTGGAGATAAAGAGTAGGGTTTTCTTGGCATGATGTGGACATCTATGCAACATACCCTGTAAAAATGGCTGTTTACCCACCATAACGGTGTCTTGGAAACCATTTGGATCATGTTGATCTATTTTTAAATTTGTTATAACATCTCAGGATCTGTGTGTATATTTTGTGTTCAGTTGTTCTAAGAATGTCTTATGACTTTTCTCATTCTCTCTCTCACTCTCCCCAGTGAAACTATGAACAGTGAAACCATTCTTCTTCCTAATTCTTTCATTCAGAAAGGTGCACAAACAGGAAAAACTGTTAATTCAAGAAGCTGTAATTTCTTTCAGCAAGATTTCTTCTGCAGGAGACATGTCACCTTTAAAATCATGTTCTAAATTTTTAAATTGTCTGAACAAAAGTTCTACTGGATTTATGCAACATAGTATCCTATAATATTCTAAGATATCAATGCAAATATGACATCATTAATATTTTTCCTGGGAGGCCTCAAGCAAGCTATTATCAACGGAAGTACTTTTGGGTATAATTTGTGACAAATCATAATGACCTCAAATTACTATTTTGACAATCTAAAATTATTAGTACATGTCCCCTGTGGAAGGAAAGTGAAACTTTAGGAATTGAGGCACACCATGGTAAGAGACTTTCACAGACCTTTTAAATAAAGAGAAACAAGTGCCTTTAATAACTACAAACCCAGGGTTAACAATTTGAAAAATTGAGATTACTAAAGGTAAACTGATACCATTTCACAGTTCTTCAATATATTATCCAATTTCAAACATTTTAATAAGGTAGATAGGATATTGCCTCTAATTTTTTAATTATGGAAACCAAAGAATAAAAGTTAAATAAATGACTTACCTAAAATTTTTACTTTGATATCCAACACTAGGGTCTTTCATAATTAAACCCTGTTAATCTATCACCTATTTTATGAAGGAGACATCTGAGAGTACCAATTAAATTCATGTAACCATAAGAACTGACTTTTGGAATTTAGGTACCAAATCAAGAAACTTACCAAAAAATGGCCCAAGTATATATCATATAGTCCCATATAATCATCATTTGTTAATAAGTTAATCATCAGACATGATACAGAGGAAAAATATTAAAACACCTAAAGAAAATGGATGGCTCATTAATAGTTTCAGAAAGGAAGCTCATTAAAATTTCAGATTTAAGTGTAATTTCCATCACCTGATTCAACAATTTGAGCTTGACTTGGACAGTATGACTGTTTCTTATCTCTATACTAAACAGTTCATTGATACCAAGATTCACTTTAGATATCAGGAAAATGGTTTTGACATGAAAAAAAGTAAGACTACCACTTTGAAACCATGTATTTACTCATATGTGAATAATAGTAAAAAAATTGTTTCACTATTCTCAATGCCAAAAAAAATGAGAAAAGGATCACAGAAATAAACTTTGATTAAAAAAAAGCATTTGTGTGGATGTTTCTCAGTTTCTGGGGAAATTTGGCTTCAAAAATTTAAATTTAGGGAACAGTCTTTTGCTAGTTACTTTTGGTTCAGTTTTGAATCCAGTGGATTGGCAATTTGGAAGAATCAAGAGCCTTCTTAACGAATTTAAATTAGGTTTCTGTTTCTTAAATTTGCAAAATTTCAAGCAGAATAAACATTAGCTGTAAATACTTACTCCATGTGTTCATATAATTTTGAGGCAAGTTGTTAAAAATTAATGTAGGTCTGTTAAGGCAGAACTGGGTACATGAAGTAATGAGAATATTATAGTTTCCATCTTGGCTTATATAAAATATTTTAAAATTAGTTATGATTTCATTCTTTAAATTTTATTTAAATTAGAAATCTTTTAAATAACATTTAAATGGGGCTTTGTTCTTCTTGATATCTCTTTCCCATATATAGTTTGTGATTTATTTTAGGAAAACCATCAACTCTTAATACCTGGAAGAGTCAAGAAAAAATAGAATTCGTAAAATGAAAAATTTTCAAGTAAGATAACTGGTTACATTTGCAAGTTAAGTGAAGTAAATTCAGAAACTAAATTTCCACCTCATAAAAGAAAAAATTCTACTTTAGCAGATCTTTTCTTTTGTTGCTTTATTCTTTGATTTTTAAGTACACAAGTGAGATTTAATGTCTGAATTTTTAAAAATGGTGCTACTCATTTTATTATGAAACTTACAGTAGAGTAGCAAGAACAGAACAAAGGGCCTTCTTTTCTGAATCATTAAACCAGTTACACCTCTCAAACTCAAATATATTGATATATTATTCCTAGAAAGACATACTTAACCACAATACAAATACCCAAATCAGGAAGTTAACACTGCTGATTGCTATTGTCTAATCCAAAGACCCCATTCAAGTGCCACTATTTGTCACACCAGTATTCAAATTTTTTAAAAATTAATTTATTTTAATTAGGTATATATGACAGCAGATTATATTTTGATTCATTGTACACAGTTGCAGCACAACTTTTCATTTCTCTGGTTGTAAATGATGTAGCATCATACCATATGTGCAGTAATAAATATACCTAGGGTAGTGATGTGCAGTAATAAGTTTACCTAGAGTAGTGATGTCCATCTCATTCCACCATCTTTTCTGCTCCCATGCCCCCTCTTCCCATGCCCTCCCCGGACCCCTCCTGTTATGGATCACCATCCACTTATCAGAACATTTGGCCTTTGGTTTTTGGGGATTGGCTTATACTTACTTAGCATGATATTCTTAAACTCCATCCATTTACCTGCAAATGCCATGATTTTATTCTCTTTTAATGCTGAGTAATAATGCATTATGTATATATACCACAGTTTCTTTATCCATTCATCTATTGAAGGGCATTTAGGTTGGTTCCACAGTGTAGCTATTGTGAATTGAGCTGCTATAAATGTTGACTGCATTACTATCACACTGGTATTTTTCAAGTGATCATACTGCTCTTAATGTCTCTACCAATCTGAAAGTTCCTTGACATTCGTTATTTCAACAGTTTCGAAGACTTCAGGCCAGTTATTTTGTGGACTGTTTTATTTTGAATTTACCTCTTAAGATTCACATTATGTTTTTTGATAAGAAATCACAGAAGAGATATGTTGTTCTTATATTATCTAAGGTGTCAAACAGTTTTTATATATCTAGTTACTGATGGCTGGGCTTTGATCAATTGATTATGGTATTGTTCACCAAACTTTCACTTTTATAGTTACTTTTTTCCCTTTATAATTAAGTATCTTATAAAGAGATCATCAAATTTTCACTCATTAGTTTTAGCATCCATTGAAGATTTTCAATTGAATCAATAATTACCACACTGATTGCCAAATACTGATTTTCAAATTCCATCATTACTTGTACTATACATTTATTGGTTGGCATTTGCTTTCATTTATTTCTCTCACTGTGGGAACTTGTAGCTACCTTTTTTCTTTTTCTTTCTTTTTTTTTTTTTAAATGCTGGTGATTGGACTCAGAGCCTCACACATGCTAAGCAGGCACTCAAACAGATATACACTACCGTGTTCATTGCAGCATTTACAACAGCCAGTAAAAGGAATCCAGTATACCTCAATGAATAAAGAAAATGTGATACATCTACACAATGGAAGAGCATTCAGCCACAGAAAAGGTAGAAATCCTATCATTCATAACAACATGGCTGAACCTGGGGGACACTTAGATTAGATGGAATGTGTCAGGCACAGAAAAGGAAATAACACATGATCTCACTCACATGTGGGATCTGAAAAAGGTAAAACTCAGAGGATGGAAGTGGTTACTTGGGCTTAGGAGCAGCAGGGTTTGGAGAGATTTTGGTAAAAGGATAAAAATTTCAAGTCAATGTTTTTTTAAAAAGTTTTAAAAAAGCTGTCCCAGAGACTTTGATGGAGACCCAGTTCCTCCCCTACCTCCTCCTCTTATTTTTCCCTCCTTCCTGGCCCCCACTTGAGAACAGAGAAGGCAGCCATCTGCAAGCCAGGAAGACAGCTCTCTTAGTATTCTACCAAATTCTAATTTCAAAGAATAGTTACAAATGCAAGAATATCTAGCTAGAGCATTTCATAAAAATGCCAAAAGTTTCCAAGCAACCAGATTACCTTTCCCTGTATGGAAAATGCTATAAATACTAAGAAAATATGATATTTTAAAGTCAAACGACAAAATTTTAGCAAGGGTTTTAGAATTTTTTCCATTTTATTATGAAGAAAAAAAATCAGTGTATACAAAGTTATTACAAAGATAAACATTCTGTACAATCAAAAGCATTTTAACAATTGAAAACAGTTGCATCAATAGCATATTCAAATGATTAAATATGAGTGTAAGAGAGAAAAGAAATATGTGCTTTTGTGATTGGGTAAATGGTAATGCCATTAAGAAAAGCAGAGAATGCAAGAGGAGACACCAGTTTATAAGGGCATTCAGGCACTTATCGAAAGCTGAAGCTGTGGGCACTAAGACGACTACACAGAGGAAAAACCAGCACCATCTGAAGACTAGGGATGGGGCTCTAAGGAAAAAACGGACCTCAGAGAGAAACCCTGTCCACCACAGAAATGCCAGAGGAGTATCCATAGCAGGAATGGTCAATAGGTAAGTTGTAAAAAGGATATGCAGAATAATGACTGATAAAAAGACATTAGATTTGACTAGGGGGTTAGTCTCTGGTCACATTTCCCAGAATATCACAGAAAATAGTAGGAGCTAAAGACAAATGGATACACAAGGAAAGACTGAAGTGAGGAAATGGAAAGGCAAACACTTTTGAAATCAAGAGGGAAGGAATATCAGGGTGGTAGGAAAGGTTTTTGCTATTTTGTTTTTTGGGGTCTTTATTTTTAGGCTGGAGAAGACACCTGCCATGTTTATACAAAGAAAAGAACTAAATGGTGATGTGAGGATACAGGAAATGGGATGGGAAGTAGAGAGGAAGAGGGATCCAGTGTAACAAATGGAGATTAGATAAGAAGAGTACCTTCTTCGCAAAACTAAGGTCAAAGTACAAACACATTTAGTAGAAGAAACTTGTAGCCAAATGCATTTTAAATTACAAATTCTATGATCAGTAAAAAGCACCTGAAAAATGAAAAATTGGAATACTCTAAACACAGATGTGGCAGGCAGTACCCTAATTCAGTTTATAATGGAAAAAGCTGCAAAACAACTCAATGCTTATTTGGTTAAAACTCACTGAACTAACAGTCAAGTATTTAAAATGATCAGTGCTAATTAATACACTAAAATACTGTACATTAAGATTTTGTATTTTGGGCTAGGGATGTGGCTCATGCGGTAGCGCGCCCGCCTGGTATGCGTGCGGCCCGGGTTCAATCCTCAGCACCACATACAAAGATGTTGTGTCCGCCAAAAACTAAAAAATAAATACTAAAATTCTCTCAAAAAAAAAAAAAAAAAGATACTGTATTTTTTTTTTAAATCACCACTTAACAATCACCATCTGGAGATACCCTGGGTTCGTATTCTGAACAGAAAAGAAATTTTACTTCTACTATTATGTGCTTATGATTTTTGAATTTATATCATATGACAAATATTTTCTTGTAAAATCAAAACTTGAGAAATATTAATTGTATTTATGGGTTTCTAATCTTTTTATTTTGCTTTCTGGACTATTCTGACTCTAATCTTATCTTGCTCTTCTGGCAATTTTCCAGTAATAGTCAACTGAGAATTTTATTTATATGTCATTCACACATACCCTATTTTATTTTGATGGAATTAATTTATGTAAATTTAAGGTTTGGTTGTACTTTGTACAAGTGAAATGATACCCATTTTCCAGATGGGAATATGTTCAATATTTAGGGTAGGTCCTAGCTATAAGATAAACTAGATCTTTAATACATTAATTACTTAGCATCATGGTAATTCCATCACAACTGAGATTAATGGCCAAATTCTGTCACCATTTTGCCATTGGAATTATTTTGCTTTTAAGCAATTTGGAATATCATTATTAACACTGGATACTTTATGTACAACAGACTACAGGGGAACAAGGATGTAAGGAAGGTTTGGGAGGCTACAGCTTTAATCCAGGCAAGCAATGAGGACAGCTAGAAATAGGGTGCTAACAATAGAAGATAAGGATGATTCCAAGGTTTGGGCCTGAGCAACCAGAAGCATGGCATTGCCATTTACTGAGTTGGGGAAGACTGAAGGAAAAGCAAGTCTGGGAGGGAAAATCAAGAACTCAGGTTTGGATATGTTGAGTTTGAGTTTTAATTAATTTATAGATAAAGCTGTTAAATAGGCAGTTATTGAGATCACAAGGAATAAAGATACCTAAGGAAAAAAGCAAGGTCCAAGGAAACTTCTTCCTCTTGAAAGTATGGGTGTAGAACTAAAATTGAAAGTCACTTTAAAGATATGGATGTAAATGTTATAAAAGGTAGAAACCCTCCCATACCTTGAAAGCTTACTTCAACT